TATTTCAGAATCCCCTTTCCCTCCCCCATTTCTGAAGAAGGGTCTAGGCCCGAAACGTCAGCTTTCCTGCTCCTCTGATGCTGCTTGGCCTGCTGTGTTCATCCAGCTCTACACCTTGTTATCACAAGGGTGGGATATTAATTTCAGACCAAAATTTTCACACTAAAACTGAATGTGAAATAGTATTATGCTATCAACACACTTACCTAAAGGATCATTTACAATGTGATGACGATTTAATCCTGTCTTATTACACATTACCAAGGTCTTCAACAGGCCATTCCCTGATTGGATTTAGAATATACTTTTCTAAGGACCTGTTCAAAACAACACTAAGAACTAATCATTCAGGCTACTTTTGCCAATTTGATTGGCGTAATCTATATGAAGATTAAAATCCTCCAATTACTGGACCACCTTTCTTAAAAGCTGCCAACTATTCATTGATTTATACTGTCTTACAATGTAGCTACAAAGAGAAGGCCTATAAACAACTTCCACCAGTGACATCTTCCGTTTGCTTTTTCTGAACTCACCTAAACTGATTATGTATGTTAATCGACTGAACTAAAATCATCTCTACTGAAATGAAACAAAGTGCTGGAGAAACTCAGCAGGTCTGGCAACATCTTTAGAGAGAAAAACAGAGTTAATGTTTCAAGTCTGAAAGAGTTAGGGTTAAGACTAGGACTTGATATCAGACTCAAAATGTTTAGAGTTTGTCTCTCAACAGATGCTGCCAAACCTGCTGACTCTTCCTAGCATCTGTTTTTATTTAGGCCAGGTATAATTTTTATTCTTTCATTCTGAAACATTAGCTGCTTTCTAAGTTAGAAAGCACAAGACATAATGAAATTAAATAAATTGAAAATAGTTTTAATTCTGGATTACAACATTTTTTGTTAAGAGTTTAGAAAATAAAATAGTGCAGCACAGGAGCAGGTTCACGTCTGTAACAACCATCATGCCATTCTAAACTAATCCCATCTGCCTGCATGTGGTCCGTATCCCCACTAATCCCTGTCTGTTCATGCATCTGTCTAAATGCCTCTTAAACGTCACTATTGTACATGCTTCTATTGCCTCCCTTGGCAGCATGTTCCAGGCACTTATCATCCTCTGTGTAAAAGACTTGCCACACACATCTCCTTTAAACTCACCCCCTCTCACCTTAAACTTACGCCCCCTAGTATTTGCTATTTCCAGCCTGGGAAAAAGACTCCAACTATTCAACCAATCCTTGCCTGTCGATTTTATTTACTTCTATCAGGTTGCTCCTCAGCCTCCAACACAAAATAATCCAAGTTTGTCTAAACTCTCTTTAGAGGTAATGCATGCCAATCCAACATCCAGGTAAACTTCTTTCGAACCCTCTCCACATCCTTTTTATAGCGTGGCAACCAGAATTACGTGCAATACTCCAAATGTAGCATAACTAAAGTCTTATACAGCTGCAACATGACTTGCCAACTGATATACCCAATGTCCTGACCGATGAAGGCAAACATACTGTATGCATTCATCATCATCTTATTTAGGTTGCCACTTCAGGAAGCTATGGACTTGTAAACCAAATCCCTCTGTATATCAATGCTCTTAAGGGTCCTACCATTTACTGTATACTTTCCTCTTGCATTCGACCTCCCAAAATGCATCATCTCATACTTGTCTGGATTAAACTCCATCTGCAATTTCTCTGCCCAATTTTCCAGCTGATCTATATCCTCCTATATCCTTTGACAAACTGCCACACTATCCATAACTCCACCAATGTTCATGTCATCTACAAACTTATTAATCAGACCGCCAACATTTTCATCCAAATAATTTATTTATATAAATTATAAACAACAGAGGCCCAGCACTGATCCTCATGTAACACCAGTGGTCACAGACCTCCAATTAGAAAAACACCCCTCTACAACTACCCTCAGTCTTCTATGACCAAACAATTCTGTATCCAACTTACTAACTCTCTGTGGATCCCATGTGACTTAATCTTCTCAACCAGCCTAACATGTGGGACCTTGTCAAATGCTTTAGTAAAGTCCACATAGGCAATATCTACTGCCCTATCCTCAATCATTTTCATCATTACTTCAAAAAAACTCAATCAAATCTGTAAGACAAGATCTCCCTCGCACAAAGCAATGCTCACTATCCCTGTTGAGTCTAAACTTTTCCAAATGCGAGTAAATACTGTCCCTAAGAATCTGCTCCAATAATTTCCCTACTACTGATGTAAAGATCACTGGCCTATAATTTTCTGGATTATCACTGTTGCCCTTCTCAAACAAAGGAGCAACATTGGCTATTGTCCAGTCTTCTGGGACCTCACCTGTGGCTAAACAAGAAACAAAGATCTGTGTCAAGGCCCCGGCAATCTCCTCCATTGCTTCCCTCAGTATCCTGGGATACAAATACCATCTCCCTCTTAATATCAAGATGTCCCAGATTATCAGCATACCCCTCCCTAATCTTACCATCTTCCATGTCTTTCTTGTTGGTGAATATCAATACAAAGTACTCATTAAGGACCTCACCCACTTCCTCTGTCTCCACGCATAAATTCCCTCTGTCCTTTAGTGGACCTATCCTTTCCCTAGCTACCATTTTGCTCATAATTTTACACATAAAATGCCTTGGAATTCTCCTTAATCCTACTTGCCAAGAACATTTCTTGGCCCCTTTTAGCCGTCCTAATTCATTGCTTAATTTATTTCCCATTTATTTTATATTCTTCAGCAGCCTTTTAATTTTCAGCTTCCTACAACTTGTATATAAACTCTAATATTTCTGGTCATCCAGGGTTCCAGATTTTGACATCCTTCTCTAGCATCCTCACAGGAACATGCTGGTTCGGAACTCTGATCAACTGGCCTTTAAAAGATTCCCACATATCAGATATGCATTTCCCTCAACCAGCTGCTCCCAATCTAACTTCTCCAATTCCTGCCGAATACTGTTACAATTAACCTTCCCCAAATTTAACGCTGCCACCTGGGCACTTCTTAACTATCTCAAAACTTAGAGAATTCTGATGTTCCCAAAGTGTTCCCCCACTCAAATTTCAATAACCTGGCCAGGCTCATTCCTCAATATAAGGTTTAATACCACCCTTTCCCTATTTGGATTATCTACATATTGTTTCAAGAAACCCCTCCTGGATGCACCTAACAAATTTTACTCCATGTAGACCTTGGCACTAAGGGAGTCCCAGTCAATATTGAAAAAATTAAAATCACCCATTACAACAACCCTGTTATGTTACATATGTCCATCATCTGCTTACATATCTCTTCTTCTGTCTCCCGCTAGCTACTGGGAAGCTTACAGTATGACACCATCATTGTGATTGTACCTTTCTTATTCTCGAGTTCTACCTACATGGCCTTGCTGGAGGAGCTGTCCAAGATGTCCTCTCTTTGTGCAGCAATACATTATTCATAAAATTGAGGTTTATAAATTAAAGCTCCAACATTTTAAAATCAATCAAGCTAGACATTTAGCTCCTAAATATAATATGTACACGATACGAGTTTATGACTTTAGAAAAATATGTAATATGCAAATGAGCATACAATGAACCACTGTAAAAGTGCTAGCCTTACCTGTTTCCCATCGTTCTCTCCAGCGTCCTGATCTAGATCCTTCTGTGTGGCTTTCCTGACATTGACAACTTTAAATGAACCCAGCTTGGCACTCTTCTTTTTGATACCATCAAGGAGCAATGGGAAAAACCTGACACAAAATGAGACGAACAACAAAAATCTTCTGTAAGAAAGGTCCACAGCCTAATCATTTAAAAAGTATCTCAGGCATGTACTGACTATGACTGATATGAAATAGGAAACATTGTTTCCTTATTATTCTGCAGAATGTATCAGGCACATTTAAACCGTTTAGCCCAATGATCCAAGCTTTATTCTCCAAATTTGCCTAAGTGGTGGACTCTTGAAATCTGGAGCTTATGGAGCTAATAAAATGCCTATGTATTACTGGCAGATAAACAAACACGGTGAAGCTACTTATAACCACCTCGAAAAAGAAAACACAAAATTGCACATACTTGACCATTTTATGGTCAACTGTGGTTCTCTTGAGATCAGATATGAAACTGCTGGCCAAATGAGTTTGCAACCACAAAAAAAGCACAGGACCACACATTCAAATTATTTTCTCGGGACCTCAGGTTTCAGTGCAAATGTGGAACGCATCATCTGCATTGCACTCTTACATAATTAAGAACACCACAGTTAAGATCAAACAATTTCTTATGTGATCCCTTAACAGTTAAAGCACGATCCATATGATTTATTTAACTTCACTAACAAATTAATCAATTCTATGAGACGATAAGACTTAGAAACAGAAGTAGGATATTTGTTACTTTGGCCCATTCCACCATTCAATAAGATCATAGCTGATCTAATAATCCTCAACTCAATTTTATTGTCTTATCCCCATAACCCTAGATTCCTTCACTGATTAAAAATATTTATCTCAACCATGAATATATTTAATGACCCACCTCTGCAGTAAAGAATTCCGCAGATTCACTATCTTTGGGAAATATTCCTCCTCATCTTGGTCCTAAATGGCTGACTCTGTGACCATGCCCTCTGGTCCTAGATTCTCACACAAAGGGAAACAAACTCTCCAAATCTACCTTGTCAAGTCATGTAAAAATCTTGCATGTTCCAATAAGGTCTCCTCTATTCTTCAAAACTTCCAATGAATACAAGTCCAACCTACCCAACATCTAAAATGAAAATCTCTCCACGCTCAGAATCAGCTTGGTGAACCTTCTCTGGACTGCCTCCAATGCCACTACAAGTTTCTTAGATAAGGGAACTAAAACAATTCACAGTATTCCAGCAACGTTCTCTCCTACGCTGCACAGTTGTGCAGCCACTAAGACTTCTACACACATCAAAAAGCCTATGGGTGACTTTTGCTTTCAGAGGACCACGTAGCAGCAAAAAATCATTACAGGGAACATTGCATTCTAGGTGTGGTCTGACCAGTGCCTTCCATAGCATAGCTTTAGCAAGACTTTCCTATTTTTATTCTCCATTCTCTTTGAAATAAAGGCCAATCCATCCATTTGCCTTCCCTATTACCAACTGAATTTGGATGCTACCTTTTTGCCATTCATGCACAAAGTCTCCCAAATCCCTCTGTATTGCAGTCCCTCTCTCTCTATCCACTTAAATAATATTCAGCTCCGTTATTCCTCCTGCCAAATGGCAAAATCTCACATATTGCCACATTCTATTCTATCTGCCACATTTTCACCCACTTAACCTGTCTATACCTTTCTGCAAACTCATGTCATCCCCTATTTGCCTTCCTCACCTATTCTGGTGTTATCTGCCATCTTGGGCTATTGTCATCTAAGACATTAATATTTACTGTGGAGCCAGCACTGATCTCTAAGGCACTCCATTAATGACAGGTTACCTGAAAATGCCTCCTTTCTCACATTCTATCTTCTTTTAGTTAACCAATCCTTTACCCATGTTAAATACTATCCTCTGTTGACTAATTCTGTAGTCAGAATTACAGAGTAAGTATGATTATTTGAACTTAACAACAAACAGACACATAAATGTAGATTAGAAACATAAAGACATGAATAGTTTAGTACTTTCAAGTTTCCTCCAGCATTCTACTGCCTCATTTTTCTTATCCAAAAGGCACAATTCATAAATTAAGTGTCCTTTGGAAAATTAACATATTGAACTTAAGAGTTCTCCTCTTCCTTCTCCACTGGGCAAGTTTTGGAACATGGAACATGGAACATGGAACATGGAACATGGAACATGGAA